TTTTCTTAAGCGTTGTAGCTATATAATTTCAAACATCCTCAAGAGCTATAACACATCTGCAGCAGAACTGGATATGAAGACAAAATTGCTGGACAGGAACACTTTAATTGTCCACTAATCTTCAGATTTCCTGCCATGTTTTAAAAAACTTTATTTGTGAAAACCTTCAGCGTGGCGGACAGCTGGCCGCCTTAGGCGGCTAGTTTTAAATAAAACACATTTAACTCCCCAATCGTAAAATATATACAGTCTCTGGCAAAATGATTAGACGCACTCTTAAGATTCTATGTAAAATCTTAATTATCAGGTGATACAGCGAATTTATTGTTTTTAAGCTGACTGTTTGCACTTGTTTTCATTCGTGTATCCAATTGATTTGCATTGCAATGGAAACCAATGTTATAAATAAATAAAAAAAATTGCCTGAATGAAAACACATGACATGTATGTTTAAATTAAAAAAAAATATTGTATATAAACTCGCGCAAAACACGTCATTATTAAAACACTACAGTGCGTCTAACGATTTTGTCTAATCATATACTAATATAATACCTGATATAATAAATATTCTATATATCGTTTTATTTATCCAATCGTCGAATTCGTATTACTATATATCGTCTAATTGAACCAGTTGATATACGAACGTAAACCGGTTTCAGCCACACAAAAACAATAAAAGCTGTATCACCTGATAATAAAGATTTTACATAGAATCTCTTAGAGTGCGTCTCATAATTTAGACAGTGAATGTATGTGACTTGAAATTAATATGTATTTAAAAATATTTATTCAATATAGTACATATATTAAATAATATAAAATAGTCAATAAAAGCAAACATACCTAAAAGTGATTTATCACCTTTAAACACATGCCACAGCAGTAAAAAGGAGATGAAATAATAGAGAGGTTAACAATTCATGAACACCTTTTAATGGGTCAGATTCAATAAGTTTAAAGGGTTTCAATAGTTAAAGCGAGCACAGTAACCACACCAAACAATCTGAAGCTCGAAAGACAATTAAAAGGAAGGAAATACTAACAACAAATGATCACCTGTTAGAGGAAGAACGGCGTCAAACAGACTGATGGAAGGAATGCAGCCCGATAAGATGAAATGTCGACAATGCAAATAAACTTTTTATCTTTTATTTGAAGACACTCCACACAAAACCCTTCCATTATCTTAAATACAAAGTTACTCAGCAAAAATAAATTCACCATTTAACGCTGAAAATTTGAGGTCGGGTTTAAGTGAAGCCTATCTTGAAGAAACACCATTTAATATTTTATTTTGTAACCGTCGTATAGAACAGTGGTGCGCAAACTAGGGGTCGCGAC